ATAAAGCATATAAATTAATTTAAAAGTTTTTAAAGTCTAGCTAAATAAAATAATTTCTCCTGATTAAACCGTTTGCAATCTTTACTATAAGCTTTCTATCTTGCCTGGCTTTGTAGATCTAGTATCATCTAAGAAATTGTCTTATTAAGTACAGAGAAGATGGTTAAGAAAATGATTCTAGTAATAGACATGGATTTGTGTCTTGCTTGGTATCCCAAATGTCTTAGCTATAGAAACTTGCATAGAAGAAGAGTACTTTTTCTTAAAATCCATTGACAATACACAACCCTGTATCCAACTCAAGATTTAATGAAAATTTCATTGAGGGGTTGAATAAAGAAGAAAATGGCATAGGAGCATGCTATTCATTTCTTTAAGAGATATTTATACAGCACTTAATTATGCCAATATCTACTTCATGGAGGTTCAAGGATAAACTTGTAGTAAAATCTAGAACCTAGAATGAAAATCTCTTTCTGGGTCAGTGTATTTTCTAAAAGGAGCTTTGGCATATTCTCAAAATGTTGTGTAAAATTTGGTGGTGAAACTGCAATAGAGGCAAAATAATGTAGAGATCCATGTTGTGAGCATGGCTAGAGCCAGTCCAGAAAAGACCACTGTGAATGAGGAAAAGACCCCTCAAACCTCTTGGAAAGCTGGATTCCACATGGCTGACTGCAGTTGAAATCTCAGCCCTTGTGGTTTGAAAACACAGAGCACACATGCATGAGTGTCCAAAATCCTAACAACATGGAAAAATGGAGGAAAAAGGTTCATAGTGAGGAGGAGGGAGGAGTACTTTCTCTTTCTCTCTCTCTCACACATACATACATAGACACACACACGCAAGTGTGCACACCCACTAGCACTATACACACCCACAAACATAATTTTTTTTTAAAGAAATCAGTTCTAGTTATATAAAGTCCTTTCTCAGAAAGTGTTTCAATAACTTTTGGTGAGTTTGACTATGTACACAAATTACTCAGATCCTCATACTCATCCAAAATAAGCAACAGGGCCTAGATTATTTCTGATTTTTTGCTCATTTGTTTGTTTTTTAATAATTATTGGCACTAGTCCTTTTAAAAGGATTTATTCTCAGGCACATATTATTCTAAATCAAATATATTATGACTTTCTCCTACTATTTGTTTTTATCTTATTTTTTACTCTATTCTAAAATAATGTTGCTTTCTTCTTTTTTTATAGTTACTTTCCATTTGTTGAAAATCATTCTTTTTGTATTTATTGTACTTTCTTTTTCAAAGAAATGTATTTAAATCACAAAGCAAGTTGATGTAAAGAAAAATATTGTTGGGAATGGCTGAAGGTGATATTAGAATGGCTGAAGTTTATAAAACACTGAGCTACGAAAAATAGAACAATCAAAATGAGTTTTAACAAGTCATGTTCTGTAAAACATTAGTTCCAAAGCACGCTCCCAGAGGGAGGGGGAGAACCAAGGTTTGCAGTAAAATGGGTTTCAGAAACCGCATGCTCCCTCACTCACTAAGAGGTGCACAATACACATTACCATATTAAGAGTTTGGAGCTGTTCTGCAATAAAGAAACCAATTTAATTTTTAAGTCAGCAGTTTCCAAATGTGTTTGACCACAAAACATTTTTTTCCTAAATAAAACTATTAACATTGAGACCCATTTTATTTATTTATTTATTTACTGCAATTTCTGATTTACACAAAATCATTATACATCTTTGTAGGGCACAGTATGGTTTCCTTTCTCTTTTTCTTTTTTAAGATTTTTTTTTCCTTAGGCTGCATATGCTCACTGGAGAGAGAGAGAGACAGAGACAGTGAGAGGGAAAGTGGGGGGTGGCCACACCATAATCCCTTCTCCTCCATTCTCTTCCCAGGATCTTGGGCATGCACGTACATGCTCCCAGCATGAGTTTCAAGCCACCAGGTCTGGGACTCGAACCACGGTCAGCCATGTGGGAGTCCAGCAATGTAACCACTGCGCCATCTGCTGTTTCCCAGTATGGTATTCTAATGAATGTATATAGTGTGCAATAATCAAATCACAAATATAAACATATTAATCACCTTCAACATTTAACATTATATTACATTGCACACATTCAATACTCACTTTACTTACAGAATTTTTAGGGAGTATATATTAAATTGTCAATGACATTTTTACTCAACTGTGCTACACCTTGCTTAAATGATTCTACTTGTTTACATGCATTCTTGTACCTGTTAATCATTTTTTTCTCTAACCTCAAATTCCCCTCCCCCTCCTTGCATCCTCCAGTATTTACCATTACTTTCTCTGTGTTTATGTTACTGAGTCCTACTTAGCTTCAGCTAAAGAGAAGAACATGCAGTATATGTTAAATAGAAGTGTAGTATTTGTCTTTCATCACTTGGTTTATTTCACTTAGCATTATGTTTTCTAGGTTTATCCATTTCATTTTAGAAGCACTAATGTAAAGTGGAAATATATTACAGGAAGAAAGGTTGCCACATTAACAAAAGATTAAGTATGAGCATAGACCTGTCTTTCTCCCTCTGACCCCTCTTGACCCTAAGATGAGGTAAGATGCTGACTGATTCTGGCACCAGGTCAGATCTGTAATAGAAATAATGCAGCTGGAATCTCAGTAGTAATCAATTCTGTATACACAGCTGGGCAAAGAGATCTTAAGAATCATTTAAGGAGAAATGAAGGTGCTGTGCAAATTACAAAGTAGCTCAGAAGAATTTAAGTTCAAATGTGATAAGTTTTGTTTTCCTTTTTTAAAATTAATTTTGTTTCTGAGTACACTGTATATTGGTTCAGTCAAAGATATCACTATACATAATATCTTCAAAAGATAATTTTTCACCTTTGTGTTTCTTATATGTTTTACTTTTCTTATTCTTCTTGACTCTCTCTGTTCTTCTCCCCCACCACCCATTCCCTATCCTCTTCCCACACTGTCTCTGGTATCCACAGTTCTCTCCATGCATTTATACCTTCCAATCGTTCAGTTTCTGGCATAGAGCGCAGACATTCGGTGTATTGAGTGGGGACATACGATGCTGCTCTTTCGTAGAAGTCTGGATTGCTTTGCTTAGCAGTATATCCTCCATATTCATCCACTTTCTATCAAATGGCAGGGTCTCATTGTTTTTATGACTGAGTAGTATTTTGTAGTCTATGTGTGGCATGCTTTTTCAATTGATTGATGTAATTGTGGACGTTTGGGTTGACTTCATGTCTTAGCAATTGTGAGTTATGCCACAATAAACACGGATGTGCAAGTGCTTTTCTGACTGAGTGCTTTCCTATCCTTTGGGTAGATATCCCAGAGTGAAATTACTGGATCATATGGTAGTTCTATTGCAAGTCTTTGACCATATTGTTCTCCACAGTGGTTGCACTCATTTATATTCCCACAGCAGTGTAGGAGAGTGCCCTCTACACAGCTTCATCAGCACTTACCATTCTTTATTTTTTTAATCTTAGCCATTCTCACTGGGGTTAGGTGATATCTCATTGTGCTTTTGACTGTATCCCTTTTATGATAAGTGATGTTAGCACTTTTTCCATATGCTTTTTGGCCATTGTATATCTTCCTCTGAGAGTAGTATGTTTAGTTCATCTCTTTATTAGGTCAATCTTTTTTGGGGGGGAGGAGTAAATTGTTTGAATTCCTTGTATATTCTGGTAATCAGTCTCTTACTGGAGGCATAATTTGAAAATATATTCTCCCATTCTGAGGGTTGTCGATCCACTCCACATATTGTTTGTCTTGTGCAGAAACTTTTTAACCTGATTTCATCCCATTTTCCTATGTTTTGGATTATTGCCTGTGCTTTAGAGATCTAATTTAAGAAGTCAGACTACTCTGATGTCTCCAAGAATTTCCCCTGTATTTTCAACCAGTAGTTTTAAAGTTTGAAGTCTTATGTTTAGATCTTTGATGAGTTCTGTTTATTTTCAAAATGCATTCTAGAGATTAACTTTCAAATGTTATTATGATTTTATTTTCTCACATCTGCCTACACTTTGCAGTGCACTCAAAGATAGTACAGTTGATAAAAACTACTAGAAAGGGCATTTTTCTTAAATTAAAATGGAATTTTAAAGAATTTTCAGTGTTCTGAAAATTTGCTCAGATCTACCTGTCCAATAAAAATGCTTTTAATATTACAAAACCCAAAATTCAGAGGAAAACACATACGTGTAATGAAGAAGACCATCATCTTAAATATCTGGAATGGGTTCAGTTTGTGGGCAGAAAACACAAAATGGGAAGGAAGGCATGCAAAAGACTTTAACCCTATGAATTCTGAAATGACAAAGGCTTTGGGCCAGGGACACTGAATTTTTCTGGGATGAATGATAGCATTCAACTATGAAGACCTTACTGTATCTCCAAAGTACAAGAAGTAAATTTAACCCTTTGAATTCTGAAATGACAAAGACAAAGGCTTTGGGCCAGGGACACTGATTTTTCTGGGATGAATGATAGCATTCAACTATGAAGACCTTACTGTATCTCCAAAGTACAAGAAGTAAATAGCTGGGGAGGTAAATGTTGTTTGAAAGATCCAAAATGCAACCCCTATGCACTCACTACATAATAAACATACTGTAAATATCAGTCATTAAATTCTTGCAGAAAAACCGTTTTTTTCCATTTTCTCCAAATATTTTGTGGTGCAATATGTCTGATAGTATATTCTTCCATTATTTTGGCAAGAGAAAGAAAATCATATGACTTGAGAAATTCAAGCCGATTCATTGCAGTAGATAACAGCTGAAGAAATGGGGAAGGAAGCCAATATTTTTCTAAAACACAGAAATTTTTAAAACTCTGAAAAGTACAGAAGAAAACATTTCTAGGTTTCCCTTGGTTCTTTTAATATGAGTGTCCTAGAAAAAGACCATACCATGAATGTGAGACAATGTGAGAACCAGCATCATCAATCATTTTCAGACAGAAGCCCTACAGGACATCTCCTTACTCCTGGAAATCTTACCTGCTCTTCCAGTAATCAGGCTTGTCTTCTGCAGTGGGTATAAAAGCAGGGGTGGCTTGAGTAAGCTTGGTCCCCAGAGTGGCATGCCATGTGGCATGGTTATAACATGATTGGGTTTCAGGGCCCACATACTTTATACCATCCACACAACTTCAGCCAGAATGAACTGCAGAAATAAGGAAAAAAGAAACACAGTTCAAGTGAAGTTGAACAATCTTATAGATCTTTGCAATGGGCTTAGTCTGCAAGCCAAAGTCTCTTTTCCATGCTTTAAGGTTGTTCACCCTTCCTCACAAGGGTCGGAAGATATTCTCTCCTCATCCATTTTTGTTTTTCCATCTATAAAATAAGAGTGGTGAAAGATGATACCTCTCAGAAATTTCCAGGCTTTTAACATGATCAAAGTTTCTTTCTCTGGTTTTTTTTTTTGCTTTTCTTCTTTAATAGACCACCTAAATTCAGGCAGAACCTTGCCTTGTATAAGAACCAAAATGACTTCATCACCCTTGTTTTATTTAATGGCAGATAAAAAGCAGTTAATTTACAGCTGAGAGAATCCCTAATACTAAATGCAAATGCTCCACCACCACAAGAGATTAGAAACACCACTCAGGAACAAAACATCTCCGTAGGGAAGAAATTGGTCTTCTAGTCTCCCCTTTCCTGTTGTAGATATTGGCTTTTTTTTTTTTTTTTTTCCTGGGTATCCATGTTCATTAAATTGAAAATTAAACTGGGGCCAGCCCCATGGTTGAGTGGTTAAGGGAGTTGAATTCCACATGACCGACTATGGTTTTAGCCCCTGTGTCAGTAGCTTTAAAAACCACACCTGGTGCATGCGCACATGTTCCCAGCAGTATGGACCAAGGGAGGAGAAGAGATTGCAAGGTGACCACACCCTATTGTGTGGTCTCTGACCACTGAAAAAAAAGTTGATTTAAAAAAAAATTAAGAAAGAAAATTGGACTGTGTGACCTCCAAGAAACCTGTGGACTTCAAACATTGTGATTCTTTGCTCCACGGAACACTGCAACACGTCTAAGCACTTGCCTGTTAACCTAAAGCCCAAGTCCTCACAGCCAGAAACAGAGGAGGTTGTATCTTTTGGGTAATGCTTTGGTGAACTGGGGGCCAACACAGAAAGCAGGATTATCATAAACTGACTTTGCAGTCAGAAAAATCTGGTTTATTCTGATTGATTTGAACTAAAATCATGAGGATATTTTCAGCAAACCCTTCTCTTTTTAAAACTAAGTCACACATCTGATTAGGAAAACAGAATTTTGTGCCTTGTTTTTATTTCCAAACTCAGTGTCCTCATTCTGAATAGTTTAACAAATACAAGTTAAAATAAGAAGCTTCAGGGCCAGGAGGTGGCGTGGAGGTTAAGGCAGCTGGATCTCACAGGGCTGACTGTACAGTATGAGTCCTGGACCCAGTTTGAAAAACATCAGGGCCCAGAATGGAGGAGAAGAGATTATAGTTGGCCATCTCGCCCAGGGGTTGGGGGTGATTTCTCACTTTACCTCTCTATTTCTGTCTTTCTGTCTCTCTCCAAGCATACCTGCCCTATGGCGGGGTGTGGGGGGGGTAGGGGACACTAAATTAAAATAAGAACTTTCATTCTCTCTGTTGAAAATTAGGGAAAAGTTTTCTGCTCCCTCCCTTTTCATGGAGCATTTTCTTTAGAAAACACACAAGTTATTTCTTCCTATTTTTGATATGTGTATAAATCGTTTTAGAGACTCAGGAAACCTTTTGTTAAATTTATGTCCTGGGAGGCCCTACAGGCAATCTCTTTGAAATGTGAACATCGGGGAGCTAGAATCCTCATTTCTCAGTTAGTGTAAAGAGCATAGGAGCCTAACTTCAGTGGGCACTTCGCTCCAAGTTGTAAAACTACCTCTAGTCATAAATATATGAGTTTGTTTTCCTCAGGATAAAGCCCATCAGTTAACACAGATGGTCACTCCAGTTAGTAGGTAAATTTAAGAGGAATGATGTTGTCAATTTCCTTGACTTGAGGACCAGTAACTGTTTATCTTAAAAATATATCTGTAGGGGCCAGCAGGTGGCATGGTGGTTAAGGCTCTGGACTCCCACGTGGCTGGTAATGGTTTGAGTCCCAGATCTGACAGCTTGCTTTCTCACTTTTCCTCTCTCTCTCTCTCTCTCTCTCTCTCTCTCTCTCTCTCTCTATCTCTCTCTCTGTGGTGAGTGCTTTTGCCCGTTAGCAAAATAAATAATAATAATAAATTGAATTAAACAATTATTGTTAAAAAAGAAAATATATCTGTAATGCATCATACCACCTGGCTATATTCCACAGTCTCTTAATCAACTGCTTGTGATGCACACGGCATTCTGATTTAAAGCTTACTCCACAAACTGCTTACTTTCTCTACTACCTTTGTGGAGAGGGTTTTCCGATTCAGTTTTTAATGATATTCTCCCGACGATGGGTAGTCTGGATCAGTAGCTTTCCAATTGTGTTCTCTAGAAGTGCCTCTCAGACTGCTGGCACAGAGAAGAGGACAGAAGTGGATTGCAAAGTTGGGGACCTCTGGATTTGGCTCCTGTGTCCTCCAGAGAGTACTCTCTTTGATATAATTTATATGTTAATATTCTAGAAATGTTTCACCTAAAATCAGGGTTTTTTATAACAAATAATAATGTTTACAAACCAAGTATCTACTCTCTACCGTAAGTTCTCATCCATTCCTCTGAACCCCTTGAGGACAGATACTTTGTGTCCATAGCTCACTTCCCTAAAGCTTAGAAGTGTCCCTGGAACATAGCAAGTGCATAATTAATTTGTGCTGAGAAAATGGCACTCAGTGTGTAATACATGCCAAAAAAAGAGTGGAGAATGGACACACAAGTTTGTAGCAGAATGGCCTTGGACACACACATTTCACTCATGTCTGTGGCCACCTGTAGTTGTCTGTGGCCTCCTATGACTGTCTGTGGCCTCCTGTGGCTGGCTGTGGCCTCCTGTGGCCCAAAGAATGCACGTGCACACAGAAATGTAAAGTGTAGTTGCACCAGTGCAGCAGTGCATGGAGTGCAATGTAGTGGTTAAAGATCAGGCAGAGGGTAGACGGAGGCACAGCAGTACCACCAGTCTCTGCAAGGCTGACTCACATTGGTGGGTTTCTGGTTGTGGTCGGAGACTTCCCTCAACACAACAAGCATATGCATGCCCATGATCCAGGGCTGTCTGGAGCTGGGAGGGGATCATGACACAGGAACCCTGTTGGTGTGCTTTTCTCTTTCTCTTTCTCTGAAGAAAGGAACAAACTTTTTATAAAGATATAGACTTCTACCTAAGAGTCTGAATTCAAACCTTGTCCCTAATTAACCAGCTGCATAACCCTGAATAAGAATCTGTGGCTCAATTTCTTTGCCTATAAAATATGATAATTATTATTGCTTAACTCTGATACTACCCTTATACCTGAGCAAGAGGCCCTTTCCCTGGTCCCCGTGCTTTAAAGGCCCCAGTCACAAACACATAATGTTTCTTCTTTATTTATTAATAGAACACATGGTCATCTCTCCCACTAGGAGATCCTGGGCTCAGCCTGGGCCCACATATTCCATAATCCTAAACATCCTCAGCTCTACGATGAGAACCAGGTACGCCCCAGGAAAACTCAACCTCATACTCTATGCTTCTAAAACAAAAGAGATCAAGGAACTTATTCAAAGTAGCTAGAACAGAGCTAGACACTCACTAGCTATTACTGTTACAGTCCTTGAAACCAGAAATTTTCTTGCAGCTGTCTTGTCTTCTGGCTAAGAGGCCAGTTGGAAAATCCAATCTCTGGATCCAATTTCAGGACCACACCCTGAACTCCAGTGAGTTCTTCCAAGGTTCAAGCACCCACTGACCCCAAAGAAACAACTCATTCATATCCATGACCTTTGTCATCATCCCCAATTTCGATATACTGAAATTTGGAAAACCAGAAGTTTAAGAACCAATTTATATTATTGATCAGGCTATGCTTAAAAAACTACATTTCATCATATTTAATGACAATGCAGACAGTTCCTTAGGTTCTTATTAGAATTGAGACAATGGAAAAGTGTTTTCTCTAAGATAACATGAATTATCTCAGAAGCAATATCCTAACTTCTTTCCAAGTTCCTGTTTCAGTTATGTCCTCTTTCTAGGAATATCCCACTGGGTGATCATGAGAGGAGCCATACATTTCATTGTCCAACTAGAAGACTTTAGTGTAATTAGAGCTGTAAGTAATTATGCCAAGACAACAGGCATGCATCTGACTGCTCTTGGCAAAGCAAATATATGATTACATTTTCCCTCTAATAAGTGTAACTGAGCTATTTCCCAGTTTGAGACTCTCTCTAGGTCAATTTCCTATTTCACAGTTCAGTAGAAGAGGTAGATTTTGAGAGATGAGAGCACAATAGGCAATTCCATATTGAAGGGTCATCCTTTATTTTCATAGCCACCACGTAATCAACATATTGATTTATAATTTATTCCTGTGTGTTCCAAGAGATGTAAAGATGGTTTATGGCCACTTAAAATTGAACCAGAATGCATAAATTGCAGGTAAGTAAGAAAAAAATAATGACTATATAGAGAACAGTTACTCTAGGACAGGCACAGGGCCAGGTACTTATTATACATTATTGCAATTAAGACTCCCACCATGTTCCAGGTGAGCAAAGTGGATGCAAAGAGATTCAGCCCTTTGTTCAAGGTCACAGAGCTTGTAAATATCAGGACATGGCTGTGTGTTATTGCAGGACAAGTTGTGTTCTTTAGTGAAATCTCTAATTTGATTATCTTTATGCTCTTGCTTCCAAATAATTCTGTTTTTCTTGAAGTGAGCAAATATATTAAAATTGAATTAAGCAATGAAATTAGCATTTTGCTTTTTTCACTAATACAAAGTCCAGGGATTTCTGTACTTTAAGGATTGTTCATGATCTTTTGTAGTTTCTACATGATCAATGATGAAATGTCTCAAACATTTTCATAAATAAATTCCATTTTAAAAAGAATATTTCAACTATATAAATTGTCATTAAGTTCTGAAGAAATTGCTTTCCTTAGGTGAAGAACAACCGAGACGTATGCACACTCAATTTAAAGAGTTCATAAAACATAAATCATATTTT